ATGAAGGATTATTTGAAAAATCTTATGAATTTATAGAAGAATATAAAAAATCAGAGATTAATGAAATTTCTAAAAGAATTGAAAAAGAAAAGGATATTGAAGAAAAACAAAAATTACAACAATTGTTAGATAAAATGGTAATTAATTTTTTTGAAAAAACAAATATTATTATTATGTCTATACAAAATAAATAATTATTCTTTGTGGGGGTTTGGTTTATACAGAAGTCAAAATTAATTAAAGAACAAGATCATAGGTATAAAAGACAACTAAAGAATGAGAGGAAGAAGAAAGAATTAGAACTTGTTGGTAAAGGAAAGAATCCCTATTTCTTAAAAAGAGGTAAGTTATTTATTTACTTGTTATTTTTTTCATAAAGATCCATCATAATATTATTCTAATTATTATAATATCTAAATCTGATTATTATGATTATGATTTTATAAAAAAATCAAACAGCCGAAGAAAATAAATTGGAATTAATTGATAAATATAAAAAAATTAATAATAATAAAAAGAAATTAGATAACATTATTGAAAAACGTAGGAAAAAGAATGCATCAAAAGAAATTAAGCATTTACCTTTTAAGAAAAGACGAAAACTTGACAGATGAATAGATATACATATGAATGATTTGATAATTTTTATTTAAAAAAATACATGATTAATTATTAAGGATCTGCAGGTTTAAAAATATATAATTACTGTAAATATTTTTTTCTTCCATTAATATTTTTTTTTTGATAAAGTTTTTTCTCTTTACACATTAATATATATCATGATTTCCTTGAAACCAAGGCTGAAAAATAAAATAAAATTTTATTTAATTTATTATTTTAAAAGAACAGAGTTAATTTCTTTTGTTAATTAATGTGAATAGGACCGGAAATTTCTAATTGAGGTCCCAAGTGTGCGGTGCCAACCAAATTTGGTAATTATCAAAAATCAAAAATCTGCCAATAATTACCAAATCTACTGCTTAATGCTACCATCCTCATATGAATCATATATGAATTGATCGTTATGTCATTTCAATTAAAAATATGTGGAAAGGCCATACTTATAAAAAATCATCTCTTGCAAATTCTCCTTTGACTCTGCTCCTAAACAAGAAGCTAGTCTAAAGAAAAGAAAATAGAAAAAAAATACCTCCAATAAATTGTATGATCTGCAAACTCTGTTATCAATTAGCAAACAAAACTGCAAAAAAAACCTCCCAGTCTTGAATTCTTGATTATTTCTTCACTTGAAGTGCGAATTACTTGGAAGGTATGAAATTGAAAATCTAAGTCAACTTGAAAACAATTACATAGTAATAGTAAAAATCAACTTTGATCTTATCGACCAGATCTGCAAACAGTCAAAATTATTTTGGTTTCATATTATATAATATGGATATTGCAGAAGACAATGATCAGTTGATAAATGATCAAGACAGTGTTAGCATTTTTATATGTCCAATTAATTTTCAATTGGATTTGTCTTGTCCAATTTGTCCAATTGGCGCAGTAGCTATTTGGACATTTGAAAATTCTAAATTCTAACATGATATAAAATATAATGTTTATTTGGAATTAGAACAATGAAAAATAACCTCATTCTTTGATTAATGATTTTTTGTTTTGTTTTTTTATCTCAGGTAATAACAATATATCTGATACATCCACATCAATGTCAACACCATCATCAACATTGCTAAATAAAAACATCATAAATTTGACTTTGGATTCTTTTCAAAGCAATAATACTAATAAATATGATATTGAGAATTTATGCTACATACTCCTACAAAATCTGAAGAATCATTTGCTTCATATAACTCTATCTAATGGTCTGGCTTTCAAGTGAAGAAGTAAAGTCCCTTTTCAAATGGTTGGATCCAAATAGAAAGGCTCCTTCTGGAAGAATTTTGAATGATGCATCTTTTAAACATAATCATTGGATAGAACAGCAAGCATCCAGTTTGTGTCCAAATTACCTAATATAATAATTTGGACACATTGGACTGTCCAAATATGCCAATGTGACTTTGTTACATCATGTCCAATTCCAAATACTAATTAGACATTTGGATCCAGATATTGGACACAATTTGGACAATTTGGACATTTGGACAGATTTGCCGACACTGGATCAAGATGATTGGGAAGTAAAGAATCCTAAAACCAATGGCACAGTTAAACAGAAGAATGCTTACCAGAGTTTGAACGTTGCTTGTAAAGAATTAAGAGAGATGTGAGAGAATATTATGCTAAAAGAAACATTCCTTAGGCAGTTATATAAACAAAAAAGTTATTGTAATAATATTCTCAAAAGTGTTAAGACAAAGAAAAAGAAATCTATACAGAAGTCACAACCAAAGATTTACCATTTCAATATGGTCACACTCTACTGTTGAACATTTTGGATATCTTTAACCTTGTCACCAATTGCTGAGGAAAGAATAGACAAGTGGTTTTAGTGCAAGATGAGCTAGGCATGTGGTTAGACTTTTACTGAGATTGAATCACATGTTAACCTTCCTTTGTGATTAAAGATGACAGTGGTACTGAGTATGTATATTGATGAAGAGAGTCAACACACATCATATCATCTCCTCCTTGTCTTGATGAAATCAAACTTCTACATTCTTTAAAATTACAGCTCCTATATCAACATACCCAAAAACTAATAAAACATTGAGAGAATTCTCTTAAAAAATTGGAGAATAAGAAGAAGGCCTGTGAGTGATTCAGGATCTTGCATAAAAGGAGAATTCCAATAAAGCAGCTCAGATCATGTCAGAAATTGATGCAGCTCATAGCATCTATCAAGAGCTTGCCAAGATCCGAAGAACTTTGAATGTTCCAAGTTTCAGTTGAAGAATTGATGCAATAAACAAAGAGAACATGTACAATGCTTGGTGCTGTAGATAGAAATCATATAAGTGAACATACCAGAAAAAGCTTGAGATAAATCATCATCTATATCATCACCTACACCAAATGTACCAATTGGAATAGCTGGCATAGGAATTGATTATCATATAAAAGGCCATGCTCAAAGATGTGGATATCATTCCTCACAGACTTGTGTAAGTATGTGATGCTGCTGAGCATATCGATCCATTATTCATTTCATTCAAGTATGGCTACACTACAAAGCCTCGGGATTTTCATTCAGCAACTGCCATTGCTATTGCTGGTGCATCCAGACTGATCTCAGCTTCAAAAACTAACACACCTACACCAACCATGAGTGCCAGTCAATTTATACTAGACATTCAACAACACACTCTCAACACCAAAAAGGTCCAACAAGAGTCTCTCCTGGCCAAGGAGATTTTACTGGATATTCATTATATGAGTTCCATTTGTTAATTAATATAATGTTAATAGGTAAATATAATCAGATTAATATATTAATACATAAAAAAACCATTTTAATATTTCTCCTTGAATCATCATCACCACCAATATATAAAATAATAAAGAAAAAACTTTAGGAATGTGTGTACAAAATAATAAATAAATACTATAAATTATTATGTATTTATGTAGATATTTATAAGTTATATTATTATTATCAAGAGGAAATAATTATCATTATTAGTAACTATAGTTCTCCTGACTAAAATTAGGATCTTGAATAAAAGCTGATAATACTTTACTTCCAGTTTGCAAAAGAGGATGACCAGCGACACTAATAATAAATTAAAATAAAAAATTAATCAATAAGTCAATGACTTGATTTTTTTTGACCCTGATGTAAGTCACTCGAGCTTCTAATAAAAATCTCAAATCATAATCATTAATTTACTTTTTAAGTCTAGGGAATTAGAGCTACAAGCAAAACAAATCAGGTTTCAAAAATAAGAAAAACTTGTTCTAGTAAATAAATAAATACATTTGTAAAAATCTTTCCAATCCTTCTCTACGATGTTCAATAATATCATCTGAAAAACGATTAGTGAAGACTTTTCCTGGTAACGATGGAATATTAACTCGAGATGATTCTCTTTCAAGGACATCACGAAACCATTCAAAATCACTGTATCTTCTTCTTACAGATGATTGTTTTAATTTAAACGTAGGAAGATTTGTCTAATTAATGAAAGCGAATGATATATATATTGATATATATATATTGTATATGATATAGAAATAATTATTAAGATCATATTATATAATTATTCCCAATATATATATATAATTTGAACATTATAATATAATATAATAACTGTTATTGACCCGACAAACAATTTCATAATCAGTATACATTTTACGACCAAAACCTATTTTTTTAGATAATATAAATATAATTATATAATTGAGTTACTGTATCATGATTTTCTAAAATTCTGTAACTTTTCAAAAAAATACCATGCGTTTGAGGATTCCGCACTTCAATTTCAAGAAAATTTTCAGGAATACCATAAATTTCATCAATTGTTTGCTCTTTCATTTGGAGTCTTGATATTGCATCAAAGTTTTTAATAGTTGGAGATGAAGGATCCATTGTTTAAAATTAATTATTTTATTTTAGAAATAAAATTTAAAGTTATGCTTGTCATTTGATAAATAGTTGGTAATTTTTTTCTCACGTGGCTTAAAATGATTCATAATCACGTTATTTTTTTGACCAAATGCATAATTGGTCGGATAATTTTATGGTGAGCATTAGTTGAAATTGGTCATTTAGAAATGGATGGGTGAAAGATATAATCATCAAGAGGCTGCAAGATGAAAACAATGATATAATTACTAAAAAATCTAGAATTTTTGTCTTCCATCACACACATCCATTTACTTTAAGCATCAAACAGATCTCATCTAGAAAGAAATTCAGCAAGTTCTATAATAACAGTTATAACCAAAATTCGGTTAATTATATTCATGAAAAGGTTACATGTTATCATTTAAATCTTTTTTAATTTTAGAAATAAATTTTCATCCATCTGATATGACGTGATGATTAATAAATATAATCTAGAAAAGATATTTTGAAATAAATAATAATTTCAAGCGACTTCAAAATTCACAGTCACCTAAAAAAAGAGGAATTAATTAATTTTTAATAAAAATTTGTGTTATTAGTAAATAATTTACTTTATAATTTTGACTTATATATAATTTTACCTTCTTGATTAGATGTTCGCCATATATTACTGAATCGTAATGTTTAATTGGATCGATTTTAAGACATTGTTCAATTGGATTAATCTTTGCATCAAAATTTGGTTCATAAAAAAAAGGAACTCTATAAATAAAATATTGTTAATGGTAATAGTAAGGCTAATAGTAATAGTAAATATAATAATAGTGATTATCATCATTACATTAAATTAGTTACAACTTACGAAACTCGATAATCATCACTTTTATGAATTACTCTATGTAAAGTGCTTTGATATAAGTTATTTGTCCAAATCTATTTTTTTATAACTATTAATTAATTATCGATTTTCAATTAAATTTTAATGATTATTAAAAAGCAGATTACTTACATTTAGCATATCACCAATATTTACTACAAATGCATCTGGTATAGGATCAGCTTGGATCCAATCTCCATTTTTTGTTCTAACTTCCAATGCTCCTTTAATATTATCCTAATCAATCAAATCAATTAATAAATAATAATCATATAATTTGATATTTTTGTAATAAAAAATTTTTTTACCTGGTTTAAAAAGGTTAGACAACTTTACAAACAACAATAATAAAAATAATGAATTATTAATAATATTAAAACTAAAAATTATACCAGAGAAATAATTTAATTTACCCATAATCTATAAATATAATATGAATTAATAAATCATAATTATCAATATAGTAATTATGATAAAAATAATAATTATACCAGTATGCTCGCCACAACTAAATCCTACTCTATCCGTGCCTCTTGAACTCCTAAGAGATGGATATCCGATAATTCTCATCACCCTAAATCAATCAATCAATAAATCTCAATAATATTATTTTATTTTTCCAAAATCACAATTCATTAATTCTAATACAAAATTAATTACCAAAATGAATCATCTAAATATTCTACAAAATAATTTTCTTCTAGACCTAATCCTAAAGCAATTGCACTCATGACTTTGGCCCCTAAATCTTTCATATATTCTATATATTCCTCAAATACTTTACGAAATTCTGATGGGTGTTCTGGCCATCTATTTTCACCTTTCAATGGCAAATTGCCTATTACTAATGGGTGAGTAGGTGGAATAGGTTTGTAATAATCAAGTGCCTACATAAAATTTTATTTATTAATTATTAGATATGTCAAAGATAAGATAAAATAAATAAATGCTTTACTTCGTGCCAATCTTTTTGATATCTTGTAACGTTTTCTCCAAGTCTTTGATAACCTCTATATTGTTTGATTATTATTATTATAAGTAATTTAATTATTTTTATATAATAATATTTATTACTTTTATTACTTTTGCAAATTACCTATAGTCTTCATTAGAAATACTAAGTTTATTTTTTTCTTCCTGTGATAATTTAAAGAATTCTCTACCCAAGTTCAAAACATTATCACATATTTCTTTCGGTACATTATGACCTTTGATATAAAAAAATCCGGTTTTCATACATGCTTCATGAATTTCTTTGGCTGTTTTTAATTTTAATTCATCAACTTCTTGAGTTTTTTTTGTTGTTGTCGTAAATGAAGAAATATCAATTATCGGTAATGTAAAAGTTGACATTTTTATTTATTTTGGAATTGAAGAAAAAACTTTGACCACATTAATATACGATGATGAATGGGTACGAGTTAATGGAAATAGTACATGTTACACTTATGTTGGAGGAGAATTTTCATTTAATCTTAAAGTTCTAATCACGCGTGTTTCATAGATAGTAAATTGCTATGTGACACTGTTACGCGTGATTCATGATTCGCTTGATTAGATAATAAATTGCATAAATGCGATTGGTCAGCAGTATCAGTATATCTAAAATGATAGTCGAATCAAGTATATAGTATAAAATTGTATTTGACATTGAATTTTCCATAATTAGATTCGCTTGATATTGAAAGAGAGTTAAAACTCTCATAATGGCTTAATAAAACTATCTATTTATAAAGGAATCTTTTGCACCTTTATCGTTAATTGCTTGCATATGGTATGGCCAAAGTATTGCGTGCTAAAAATTTTATCAAAGAAATTACATTCTACGGCTATCAATGATATGCCATATAAATATTAGGATTCTCGACTAAAAGTCAAATTATGACTCTTTTGGATAATTCACCGAATTATTTTGAATTGGTCCTCTTTTTATGGAGTTGTTATCTCACAGATAGCCCTTTAAATGATTTTTTATCCATTACTATTTATTTCATGATAGGTTCAACAGGAATGTTGCACGCCAAGATATCAAACTGTCCTCCCTTGAAATTCATAAATTTAACCAATAGTAATAGTGACATCCTTGTTGAACCCTGCTCAATTTTCTAAAGGTAAAATTACGTGAGATGCGTTCAGGCAATCATATACGTATTCTGGTGTATAGTAAGCAACCACTGAAAGTATTTTTTTCTTTTAAAATCCTTTGGGGAATAAAAATTGGAGAAACTCATCCCTGGTAACATATACTCATCCCACAGCAAACAATATTTATTTAATAATAAAATACACATTTATATAGTAAGAATTAATAAAGATTTGTTAAAAAAATTTTGATGTAGTCTTCAAAATGTAAATTTGGTGGTTTCAATCATTAGTAGAAGATAATGAACATTATAGATTTTCTCTCGACAAACTCAAAAGTACTTTTATTCATGTCAATTGAATGTAATGGAATGCATAATGATTTAATAGTTTATGGTTAAACCCCCAAAAGACATGGATCCTGATCCGGTAAATGGAGAAGACAAGGTATGGATTCCATTACTTCTTGGTTATTCTATTTAACAAGGAAGGAAATATATACATTTGCTTATTGGATTAAAGATAACAAAAAATTGCAGTATATGAAAATTTTGAAAATGATTCCACATCCACCAATTCAAAGGAAATAAGACATTATAATCATGTTTAGAAAATTTCAAATATGAATTAAAAATTTTAGAAAAAATATCTGTAACATCTTTAATTGGTTTTGGTAATGTTAAAATGTTAACTACTTATGTAACAAAGTATTTGAGAAATATCTGTTCTTGTCAAATTCACATAATTCACCAGCTCCAGTTGATCCAAATGACATGCTTAAAAGATTTGTTGATTTTAACCAGAAAAAGAAAAATAAGGAAAGAGATGTTACTTAGATCGCATAAAAGCCAAGACTTCATTCTTATACTAGTGTTAATAAATAAGTAGTTAAGACATTATATACATATAAACGTATGTTAACATCTCACATATTTGTGATTCATCTTTGTATGTATTCTCATGACGGTGTGTAATTCAATAACATTTCTATTTGTATCATGTAGAATATTTTTTGAATTTGTGTGATAATAAAATCCATAATAAACAGGCCTATCATCTAGTAGCAGCTGAAGATCTTGAAAATGGTAATGAGAAGAATACCAACAACTACTTCTAAAAAGTTGCTAAAAGCATCAGAGTTGAGATAAATGATTCAATATCATAATAATTATCTAATAATATATATATTTTTTTTAGTAGCAATGATGCATAAAATCATTAATTTATTCGGTTATCAAATTTTATAATGTTAAAGTGTTATAATGAATGCTTTTAACTGGAATTGATTAATCAGTTTAATTATTTTAATAGGATTTAGATTCCAACATCTTCATCCCCAATATCACCTTTATTTTTGCCACTATCTACATGGCGTGCAATTTTATTTTCCATCTTTAAAATGACGGATCCACCTGTCCATTCAACTGATTTTTCATCAACTTTAGCGTAATCTTTTATACCATTTGTAATTTTTTCTATCACACCGCTGACATCAACCAATTTACTACTATTCACACTTCTACTGTGACTTATAACAATATTCAAGTCATAGCCTTCTTTTAAAAACTCGGTTGCTTTATCAATTGTGTCTGATAGAACTTCCTCTCTAACTTTCCAACTAACCTTTAATTCTTTATAAACTTTATTGTTGTTGTTGCCATTACTTAAATTTTGATTTTCGTTAAAATATTTCTTATTGAATGATTTTTTATCAATCAATTTACAAATTGGTGAATAAGACGATGATGTTGATGACTTATTGTAGTTATTATTATTAACGTCTGATAATTTATTATTGGTATTGTTTATGTTGTTGCTAACTTCAATCAAATAATATTTAGATCTATCAAAAGATGATAAAATTGATTTTAATGATTTATCACCAACAAATTTACCAAATTCATCAATATATTTTATTGATTCTGATGAAATTTCATCATCAATTCTTGGTATTTTTATTCTTCCTCTTAATAACGAATTTGTTTTAAATTGATGATAAAATGTTTTTATTAAAACATTTTTACTATTAGGACATTTTTGCTTTAAATTTACTATCATCACTCACTAGTTATGTATATAATAAGTAAGTGTTAATTTTATTAATTGCAACGGCGTGACGAATATATTAACTGCGGTTAAGGATTTTCCTCAACAAACATTTCACACCAACACTTCCTAAAGTACTTACTATATAGATACAACAAACAAGCTAAATCGAGAGATGTAGAAATAGAAATTAGCTTTTAACAAGCCAATAAACTCAAAGCTGTATTAGAATTAATTAAATGTTTCAAGGTTAACAAATGTTAATAACGATTTTATTTATTAGTTAAATTATAATTTACCAGATCATTTATACTGCTAAACTCTTTCAAGATGGAGAGGATTATTGGGTGACTTTATAAAGCAATTCAAAAAGACAACTAAAAATTAAATTATATAATCAAACGAAAACACATGGTGCAATATTTGTTAACAAAGGAGAGAAAAGAGCTAGTTTTTTTCCTTTGAAAATATTTAATATACAACAAAATAGCAACAACGCAACTAAGAATATCAATAAAGTTGTTGTAATTGTATTTGGAAAATTAACAAGTGGAAAACATTATATAATGAATGGCCAATTATTTCGTTAAATTTCCCTGACTAGAAGAGACTCCCATTGGATCTTTTCGTTATTGAATGTGCTGAAGAAGTGTTATCCAGTATATATTGATGGTTTGTGTAGGTGCGGGTTCTCGAGAAGGCGGTAAAGATGGATGAGCAATCTTGATGCATCAGCAATAGCAATGGCAGTTTCTGAATAAGGGTCAAGGCTTTATAAATTCTCATTAAAAAGCTTTCTTTTCAATTTCACATCATTTATATAAAACCAAATTTTATCTCTTTTTATTTTATTTTTTTATTATTATAATTATTCCAAAATATTATTTTCGCATAATATTTTCTTTGTTTTTTCGTAAGCTCCTAAAAATATACATCCACCAATTGATATCCACAAAACACGAGGACCAATACCAGAGAACAATTTTCTTGCGCCTTCTTCTTTTATGATTCGATTGAATGTATCAACAACTCCTCCAGAGTAATTATGAACAATTTGATTCTATCAATCAATCAATAATTAATTAATGATAAATATTATTGATAATAATAAGTGGAAGAAGGAATTATGAATTTAATTACTTTTGCCGATAACATCACACGAGTCTTTACTACATCCAGAGGCGTAGTAAGTCCGGCTGCTACACCTCCAGCTATTGATCCACAAATAGAAGCTTCCCAAGGTTCAATTTTTGATCGGTTTGTAATTTGTGCAGTAAAAACTTTTAAATATTCATATAGTGGGAATTGTATGCAGGTGAATGGTATCTAGAAAATAAATAAATATAGAAATGAGAATGTGAGGGAAAATAGAGGAATTAACAATTTATAGAAAATATAAATCTCTTCAATCAAATAATCAAATGATAAAATAAAATTGTATATATATATAAGTATAGTTGTAGCCTTTTACTTAATCCATACATCGTCTATACACATATTTTCAATATCATTGATTCTGCAATTAATCATTTTTATTATTGCTATATCTTATTATTAATATTCTCTAATTTGATTAGTGTGTATATATATATATATAGCATATAATACTAACTTCTCTAAACACAGTGCTCAAGTATCCGCGATAAAATCCTTGGATTCCTTCTTGTTGAAATATAGATCTCAAAGCAAATAGTGTTGAATGATATTGTTTAGTTTGCATTCTTTGTTTAATGACTTCTGTTGGAACTCGGACAATGCATGCAGACTTTTTATTTTATCATATCATTATCATTATGTTATTATAAGAGGTCATTAATCAGAAGAATTAATATTGTAATTGTTATTATTGTTATTATTAATATACTTGCAATTTCACCACCTGACGCAGCAACCATATGAATTAATGGTAAATATTTTAATTTATAATCATTATGAGATTTATTAGAATTTCCTTCCATATTTATTAAACCTTTTTTTAAAAATTCATATGTGACAAAAAACGCTGATGCTATAATCAATAAAAGATTTATTTATAAAAATATAAAAATATTGGATTAAAACTTAAAATTTTGTCATTATAATAATAATAATCATACCTCCAGGAGCACTACCAATTATTACACTAGTTATTCCTGAATATATTCCACGAAAACTGCCTGCTTTGTATAATCCCAATTTTGATTGTAATCTTGTTTTAATCGTGTCTAATGGATATAATATTGTGTCAACCGCTGTTCCTGCTATACCACCAGCCTTATATTATATATATTGAAAAGTTTTATTTATTTAAGTCATTTTCTGATAAAAAATAACAATCGATAATTTGTTACCACTAGAGCTTGCTTCATGTTTATTGTATATTCTCTTTTTTCCATATTTTAATTTTTCTGTCCACAAAAAAATTTTTTAATAATCCAGTAATCACATGTAATGTATTTAATTACATGCAATTAATTTATATATCAGTTATAGCTTAATTAAGTTCATACATTTTTATCATCCATACTTTTTTAAGTAAAAAACCATACAAAATTTTATTTTATAAAATAAAAAAATGCTTACTTTCAACAGAGAACTTTTTTGCAGGTTGTTGATTGGGCATGGACTTGGCTTCTTGTTTCATTATAAAATATGCAAAAACCAACCCTATGATATAAATCAAAACAAAAATAAAAACAAACAGACCGGGTTGAATCCGGATTTTTTATTTAGTGAAATGGCAATTGGCATCTGTGAATAACTTGAAGGAAGAAAGGGAATCGTTGTTTTTACTCTTTTCTTCTAGGATTTGTTTTTCGTCGGTAAAAGCTTTTGCATCGGAGGCAATTCAGTAATAGATCAATTAAAGAAAATAATAAAGAAACGGAGAAAGATGTGACATAGAAGAAGAAATATTATGACATTATTGGTAGTAATAATAATGTAGCATCAATGGCTTTGGAGTAAGATCTAGAGCAATACATATAGAGGTAACAGATAAATTCAAAATTTTTATAATAGCTAAACAAGGTTTTTACTAAAATGAATAAGCAAATTTTATAACATGACCTCAAAAATTTACCCATGAATAAACAACACAACTAAAAGTGATTTATATGAAATCTTTGATAATCATTTCAATAATGACCAAAATCTTCATATAATACCCTTTTTCATCTCCTAATAGTTTGAGAATATTAAAACTTTTGATTCGGAAATATGATAGATGGTACATGATGTGTTAAAATATTACATTTTTCCTTAACTAAATCACTAAAAATATCGATATCAATAGGGAATGTACACATAGGGATATATCATTAATAGTTTCAATCAGTTCATTTGTATGACAATACTTGACATATTGTATGCACAATTGACGTTTTTTTGAATATTGACATCTATTTTTTAACGCGCGTTTTTGAAAATTCGAGATCGGCAATTCAAAATCTTTTTTTTTTGATAAAAAATGTTTCGTCAAGTTAAAAAAAAGTATGTAAAAAATTATTAATTATTCATCAAAGTTTATTACTTATTTATTTATTTAATTAATTAAATAAGCATAATAAGATTAAACAACAACAACATCAACAACACTAACAGTACTTTCACCAATTTTTTTAACAAGGTTTTAAAACTTTTGGTTTGGTTTAATGAGTTTTTTATTATTAATTTTTGATTTTAACAATGACATGTTTTCTTTATAATTATAATTTTATCAGAAAAACAAATTGTTACTGGATATAATAGTATACAGATGCCGAGGATTTTCTACTTTTAGAACCAATAACAATGTCAACAATAATATCAACATCATTACTAATACTGCTGCTATTGCTTCCACAATTAACAACAACATTTGTAACAATAACTATAGTAGCATTATAAGGAATGAATTCTTTACAAAAAAACGATCAATTAAATCAATTAAAATAATAAAATCATTTCGTTTTTATTCTACAACAAATTCATCTTTACAATCTAATAATAATCAAAATATTGCAAATAATATTAATGACAATTCAAATCCCAATTCTGATTTATACGAGGCTTTCGAACCATTAACTGATAATATCGATTTATCATCATCATCTACTGTTGCAGGAGATAATATATCAGTATTAACTGAAACAGCTATGAAAATTGGCGATCTGAAAGCATTGGGATTGGTGAATTCTACACCAGTAGGATTTATTGAAGGATTACTAGAAACATTACATGTTACATCAGGTTTATCATGGTTTTCAACAATAGTAGCAGCAACATTTTTATTACGTATGGCATTTTTACCTTTTTTAATCAGTTCACAACGTCATGTTGCAAAATTTCAGAAAATTCAACCGGAATTCAACGCACTGAATGACCAATTAAAAATTGCTAAAGAATCAAATAATCCAGCAAGATCATTAGAATTAAAGATGGAAATTATTGATTTGTATAAAAAACATAATGTTAGTCCATTTAAAGGCCTACTAACTGCACTTGTTCAAGCACCAACGCTACTTTGTTTTTTTTTGGCTTTAAGAAATATTTCCAAAGCTGACGTACCAGATCTTAAAACTGGCGGTATCTTATGGTTTCAAGATTTATCTTCACCTGATCCTTATTACGTTTTGCCTGTCCTTGCTACTGCAAGTTTCTTTGTAATGATGGAGGTAATAATAATATGTGTATATTGAAAATAATAATAATTAATGTAAAGAAAACTAATATTTATTTAATTTACTAAAAAAGATTGGATTGAGGACAGCACCTGCTAGTTCTCCAAATTTAAAATATGCCAATTTTTTCCGTGCATTGACTTTAGTTTCACTTCCAATTGGAATTACATTGCCTTCAGTAAGATTGTTATTAGTTGATTGAATATTACTATTATTAAATTATTATTATATTAATTAATTGACTGATTGATTAAATATTAACTATCATTAATTATCAATTAATTAACCACTCATCATCAATATCGTGGAAAAATAAAAAGGCAATAATAGTACATCTTATCAGCTCAACAGTAATTGGTACAATACAAACAATAATATTAAACAATGAAGATTTTCGACGTAGTGTTGATTTACCAGTACTTGAAAAACAACCAAAAGATCTCTTTGATGCTAAAAGCATTGCCACTTCTTATAATCCACAGAAAAAAAATCTAAAGGGTCGGAAAGTTTATCCTAATAATAACAGTGATTCAAAGTTGGAAAAATAATACGAATGAATAAATGAATGAATGCATGTACTATACGAATGAAATTACGGAATTGATGATGGATGAATGGATGGAAATTTTTTTTAAAAAAATAAGGATAGAGTGTACGTAACACGAAGTTTACTATAATGGTGGATAATTTTTAATAAAATGAAATTTATTCTTTTAAAAGAATTCCCGTTTTTTATTGCTATCGTGTCTTCTTTTAAACCAATCATTAATATATTCAGTCTCGCTGTGACTAAATTAACGAATGCGATTGTGACAAATGCAGTAAACATTATTTTTTGTTTGTCCGAGCGCAAATCAATAAAGATTTTCGTTTAAAAAGATAAAAGATAAAAAAGAATATAAATTTTTGAATGCGAATCGATGGTATTATTTTATGATAATAATAGAGATGTGTATAAGAAAGAAAAGTTATTTCAAATTTATATCAGTTATTAATTTCTACATTTCGTCCTTTGAACTTAATTTCACTATTATAAGAATTTTTGATTGATTCATTCAACCATTCAGTTGTATTCTTCAGTTCATCTTCATCTTCATTAATTCCGTAGTCTCTCACTAGCGGAAAATTTATCATATCACAAACTCGTATCATCTTAATTCACGTATCTCATAATTACATTATTGCTAGAATTTACAACTGACTTATTTAATCGTTCAGCATTTCTTTCAGTTCCTCTCCATCAGTGATGTTAACTATCCGGACCGTTGGGTTGGTCCGAAGCCAAACTTAGGATTTCTATCCGAATAAAACAAATCTCGAATAAAACAAATGACGCGAATAAAACGAATAAATGAATAAAACGAATAAATCACGTAATTCGAATAAACCAGATAAAAAATAAATCAAGTAATTCGAATAAAACAAATAATTCAAATGATTTGAAAAAAAAAAAAACAAAACAAATAATAACTCAAGTAATTCGAATAACGAATAAATCAAGCAACTCGAACAAAACAAATTATTCGAATAAAACATATAAAACAAATAACAAAACGAATATTTCGAAAAATTTGTATAGAAGGAATGAGGATTCATAGAGACAGTGAATGAATTTTGATTTATATAAAACTATATTTTTTTTTTTTTGAATATACCGTAAAGTTTTAAAAGATAGAGCGCTATCTTCTGAGACTTTAAGGTATTAATAATTTGGAATTGAGTAATCTTTTTAGCAAATTGAAATAAATGCTTTTATGAAAAAAAAATTCAACGGTCTAAACGGTCTTTAATACCTAAGACCAGACACGGTCCCGACCGTGGTCCATTCAGTCTGGACCGGCCCTATTAGACTGACGGTTTTGGACCGGACCAGACCGTTAACAACCATACTCTCCTTTTATTCTACATTCCCCAAAAGTCTGTAATGCCATGGATGCACATCATGTTCTATTTTTAAACTTAATTACGTTATTATTAGAGTTTTCAATTTGTTCGTTCAATGGTTCGGCCATATTCTTCATTCTTTAGATTCGTTTCGATTATTACATGTTCTCTCATACTCAATAAACATTTATCATGCCACAATCTCAAACCGTTTTTTAATTCCTGTATCCCATATTTTAGCTCCCGTATTTCATCTTTGGTCATTTTCAATCGATCCATTCAGTCGCTCTGTTCACCTTCAATTATTATACTCCCATCAGAATTGTTCACACCACCGATCTCCCTCATTTTCTAAAATTTCAATTTCAAAACTATTCTTCGTTCCTGAATTGATCAACTCTTCTTACTTGGGTCCCTTTTTTTTTAGGAAAAAAAGGAAAGAAAAAAGAAAAACTAAAAACAATTAATAAATAATTTCAATAACATAATGCAATACGAATATGAATGTGAATGTGATACTATATTCATACATATGCTCTACTCAATAATGCCTTCGATATATTTTGTGACAATAGTGCTTCATATTTTTCAAATTAAAGACTCCAAGATTTACACATGTTCTTTTCCTCAAGTTCTTTACAGCGATTCTTAATGCTGTTAACCCTCTATCGGAATTTTCTTTTTGTTCTTCTTCGTTGGCTACTTCAATATCTGATTGTAGCCAAGAGTATTTTTGTCTAACTTCTCAGAATATTAGTTTGAAGGTGATCGTTATCATCGTTTTGGTTCTTTTACACGATAGCCTAAATATCATATAAAAATCAAAATGTAGAGCAAAATTTATGTACAGGTAATTATATAAGATTCTTTATCGTCATTGATATTAAATAATTATAAGAAACGCTAAAGGTGAAAAAGGCAACACGGTTATTGAAGATCTCTACTTCTCTCTACTTCTCTCACTATTTCTCTTTTTCTCTCGGAAAACTGCATGCATCTGGACAATTTGGAGACATCAAACAACTCGATATGCAACGTTTGATTATTGGATGGAATTACTTTGCTCAAATATTTAAACCATTACAGTCATTCTCATATATTCCTCGCAACATAACTACACAAGACTAATATGACCTTAATACAACGATGCAATTATTTCAGGGAGGCTGGCCTGGGGTTCATAGAAATTGCATTATTGTTATGGAGGTTGTTCGCAGGTAGTTTATTGGCTAATTTTAGAGAAACATTAGTTAAATGGTCCAATTTACTTTTGCTTGTCAAAGTCTTCCGACTTGTTCAATTCACCTTCACCTGTGATAGAAAAAATTCCATAATTACGAGGAGTCAATTGCATGATTGAGAGGGGGAGGTTATTAAATCTGACGCATGTGATCAATATCAGTCAGATTTATTCATTTTATTTTTTTGGGTTGGTTTTTAAAGAACTCTACAATTTGTAATTGGAAGCACATACAGCACACGTATAGCAACGACACACACACGTACAACGTAACGACGCGCACAAAAAAAGGAACAAATTTTTTTTTACTACCACTTGGATGACAAGGTGATGGACCATTATCCTATACATGCAAAGAGGTCATGTTCACCTTTCAATAGACTTGTATTATTAAGGGAATGAAAATTACCACTCGGCTAAATTTCTCATCTTTGCTTGTGTGGCTTTCCTAAAATTGATTCCTTAAGTTTATTATCAATTTATTAACTCTTTGCAAATTTAAGAATTATAATATCAAATGATCATCATGAATATTGTAATAAGCGATAAGACATGTTTTATTTATCTCATTCAACGATAACGAAAAACACATAATTGTTATAAATAAAAATAAAAAATATTTGAGCTCAAAGCGGAGTGCAAAATCCTATTATAAAATCCAGGCAGTCCGATAAAAAATTTTGGGAATCAGCCATTTTCTGGTGTATAAATTTTAGATTAAAATTTTTACTTAATACAATTTCTTCATTTTATTCGTTTATTCTAAATTATTCGTTTATTCGTTTTATTCATTTTATTCGTTTTATTCGCTTTTATTCGCTTTTATTCGTTTTATTCGCTTTGTTCGAATTATTCATTTTATTCGAATTATTCGTTTTATTCGAATTATTCGTTTTATTCGAATTATTTGTTTTTATTCGAATTATTAGTTTTATTCGTTTTGGAAAATATTCACAACTTGGTGCAATAAATTCTTATCGTTAAGGGATTATAAAATTACAATAATTATATTTACAATCTATATATTGCTACTGCTATGGTTGCCAGTACTATGACTTAAAAAATATCTGGTACCCAATATTTATTATTATTATCACTATATACAAGGACTATGAAGGAAAATAGATTGATAAAAAAAATTATTTTAATTAGATTGGATTAACAATGGGAATACGTATATTATTTTATTCAAACAAACTTGAATAGAAACCATACTACTAGTATTTATTGTTATTTAAGAAAATTTTTTTGATCCGATATTTTTTGAAGATTTCCGTTAAAATTTTCCCAAACCGGGCATTCCCACGATATTTTTGATCACACATTTCGCACCCTGGCCCAAAGCCATTAAAATATTCTTATTATGCTGTTAAAACATACTTGAGCAGGAAAAACATTCTCAATATCAAAAGTATCTGATGATGTTCCACTTGCGATTAATTATTTATCATTTTATTTTTTTTTCGTTTTCCCACAAAAAAAAAAATAAAATCAATAAATTAAAAAAAAAAAGAAACAATTTTACATATATATACAATATACAAGAAAAATTAATAAATTATAATAATGATAATATGTATGTATATAAATAAATAGTAAAAACAGTGTGTGCACGTATATATATAAATGTCTATGAAATTATTTCTAATTAATTAATACATATAAATATAAATAAAACGTATATATACCAATAATAGTAATCGATTCTAAATTAAAGAAGTTTTTTCTTTAATATAATTTAATTTATTTATCTATCGCTCGAATATTCGTCCAATAATCTATTTAATTAATACGGTAGATTATCGATTCCGGATTCTCTATGATAATTTGCATTGTTATTATTATAATCTTCCTCACCAATATTACTATTATGACTTCTTGAAATTGCTATGTCAGGTGGATAAACCGCCAATAAATCATCTATATGATTTAGATTATCATCATTACGTTCATAAAAATGTGATCTATAAGATGTTGGGGTAGATGCCACTATTGTATTATTATATGATGAATTAACTGCCAATGTAGATGATGAATAATTCTTATAATTTAAATTGCCATCATCATTATTATAATTACTGCTGCTGCTGCTGCTGCTACTGCTACTACTACTAACAATAATGTCATCATAATCATCATCATTATTATTGTCGTTAGTTTTCTTATTTTTAATATCATAGCCATTGACAATTTTATGATCATAGTCAAAATCATCATCATCGCGATGATTTGTTATTGACATTATAGTAGTTGTGTCAATCCCTTCAATATTGAATTTAATCCCACTTGTTAAATCAAAATTTGCTTGTTCTGATGGTGTACGATGTCCATCCGCGAATAAGAAATTTACAACGGGGTTCTTATTATTATTTTTATTTTTATTATATAATTTATTTGATGTTGACATTATTGTTCTAGTAGTTGTACTTGGAACTGACGTCATCATTTTACCATTATAAGTTTTGGAATTTGGCGAAGCTGGTGAATTTGGATATGAATTATTTTGTGTACTAAAAAGAAACAAATAAATAAATAAATAAATAAATAAATTAATTAACATGTATAACACATATACGATTATAACAAAAACAAAACAACAACAACAATAATAACAACACATACAAACTTGAACTAAAACCAGTATCCGTCGGTGATATAGTTCTTTCCCGGAAACAACATGGGAATATTTTGTCTAATTTTATTGAAAGTCCAAATTTACGATAACTGTTCATAGCATCTTGACCGGTCCCAAAGAACAAAAATACAAATAATCCAGTTAAAGGTTTTGCATAATCTAATACTGAAAGGCCGCCTGTTTCAGCAGTAAAACGCATAATTGTATTCCAATTTTTATGTACTTCATAGAAATCGTACGGAAGCAGACCATTATTCAAATTACCTAACACTGTAAGCAATGTTGCTGGTAATGCTAGGATTAAAAATGTAATGCAAAATAGCACCAATCGGTAAAATCTTGATGCATTTAATCCTGATTCACAATATGTTAATAACGCTTGAATTTCTAATCTTTTTTTTAAAATAGTGTAAGATGTCCTTGCTAAAGGAATAAAAAATTTATCCAATTAATTAATCAATAATATTAATAATATAAAGATAATGAATGATAGGCAAATAATTACCAGCCAAATAACATCCAATTCCAGAGATTATAACAGGCCAAATACCAAGTAATAAAATGTAAAGCCAACTACTATGAGCTTGTAAGAAACAGCCTAATATAGGTCTTATACTATATTTGTTTTTAAATACTAAATATCCTAACGCAGTAAGAACAAATGGCATTACTATCGATATGAATAATTCAGTGTATATTTGCCTTCTTTTGTACACCTCGGTGATGATTGTTGGATATTCCACATAGCTATATAAATTATAAATCATGCAGGTAATAGAAGCCATTAATCCAACATGGGCTGCTACATAAATGGGCGGCGTTATATAACACCAGGTAGGAGCTTTATCTTCTAGATCGTCTGCCCAAAGAATCGAGTTCACAAACAAAATAAAATTTGTTATCGATATCCACATTGTCATCAATATTGCTCCTGAATTTCTTAATTGAATATGAAATCCTAGAGGAATCAAGATTAATATAACGGAAACGAATGTTGAAACCGTGAAAATATAATCTACCATCTTATTATTTACTGTTATTATTATTATATTGTTGTCGATTAGGAAAAAAATCTCTTTCCTTTAACTTTAAATCCTTTTTCCTTTTTTAACATTAATAAAGATATTATCTCTATATATAATTTTATGATGTTTGTTTGTTTTATGGAATTGGTAAACGGTGTATGGTGGTTATTGACGTATTGATGGAAATGAGATAATTTAGTTAGTTGTTAGAGGATATATTCGTTATTATGTGGATATGTAAATTTAATTAAAAAAAGTAAATTATCGTCTTTGTTTGAGGTTAATTTTTTTAATATTTAATGATTAATTGATTAAAAAAATAGTGAATGAATGCGACAAAGAGATAAAATACAAAGAAAAAAGTAACTAATGAGTGTGGTTGAGTGGGAAAAACAAAGAATGTGTGAATATTTATTTAAATGTGTGATATTATGAAAATTTTTACACACATAAAAATTACATATGAATGTTAATTAATTAACAATTAATTAATTAATTAATCGGTTGATATTGTAAAGAAAAAAAGAGAGATAAATAAATATAAAATATATTAAACACAACATAATATTTTAACTTTATTTTTATTAAAAAAAAATTAACGTTTGACAATGAATCTGTCACAGATTTTCCATTTTAGGAAAACAAGTTAAAAAAGCAAAATATGATAGGTGCAGAGGTTATATATACAAAACATTTATATTGTTTATTATTTAGATTTACTTCTACATACAGTCCCCTAAAAAAGGCAACTTGATCTTCATAATAATAAGAAGAAGAATTAAAAAAATTATTTGTTTGAATTGAACATTCTCTACTGTAATTTGCATTTTTAAACAATTTCTAAATTACAGATCTTTCAAGAAATAAATTCCCTTTATTGGCAACATTGTTTGCATTTTTTTTTTTATCATTTTGCGGTAATGATAGTCATATTGCATGATAAACGGGATCAATTTTTTATTGATACAAATACTACATATTAATATTAATACGTAATACCGATACTAATATTCAGGTTGTGTTAAAACACGGCATCTTAAATGGCTCGCTCTAAATGACAAATTTTTGCAAAAATTAATTTGTCTTATAAAATTATCACAGTGATTAATCAACAATTCGATTCAATATTTTAAAATGTTATTTGACCCGGTTACCTGACCCGTTCGGAACTCTATTCCCAGAACGAATGAGCGAGCAGAATGAATATTTCTGAACCAAGAAAACTCGACTTTTACTAAACGTAATTTTTTGGGAAGGATGAATTAAAAAAATCAAAGTGTTTCTTATCATTTTTCAATCTTTTCAAAAAAAAACTCACCTTTCAACAAATAGAGTTTTGATAAACGGATAGGATATCTGGATATTAATAATATCCGGATATCCATATAAAATATATTAATACTAATATTAATACTAATACAATATTAATATACTAATACTAATAATACTAATGCTGATACGATATTAATATTAATATAATATTGCAGTCAAAACTCGAAAGCTGAACCATTCATTATAAACCAATAACGATGCAGAATGGGTCAACCAAATCATAATAATAATTAACAAATTATCTTGTTAGGCCGTTTTTAATAATAATTTGTTGACCAATTTTAAAAATTTTGTCTTATCCTTTAAACGGTCAGAGTATTAGTATTCTTTAATGGTACACATCTAAACTCAATAAGTCGGACGCGGCAATCAATTGTTTAAAGTACTTTATAATATAAATAAATGTCCGACTTATCGAGTTTAGATGTGTATATAGGTAACGCAAAATAATTTTTTGATCACGAACTTGTATTCTTATTGGTCATTTGATGATCAGCAAAGTAAAAATAGTCAATCGATCAACTTTTAAAGAAGATTTTACGAAATCTACAAGGACAACAACCAATTTTTTATTTATATGTCAATCGGCTGAATCTCAAAGATCATTTTCGTATTAGGAAGTGATACTCTCAGAAAAAGTTTTTATAGCAGAAGAAAAATTTCGGCTACAACAGCCGGTGAAATCCGGTTATAATTTGTTTCACTAATTTTTAAAGTAAAACTTTAAAGTGGGGGATATGTAAATATGTAACACATACTATCCCTTAAACGGTTAATCGGCTATTGATAGTAATAGCCGATAAAATTTTTCTGATATTAGTCGAACATTAAACGATTGGGAAGTGTATTTTCCGAAATTTTTTGGTGATCAACGTCGAAATTCTATTAATAAAATTAGCCACAAACCTTAATTTTAACCCTTTTTTGCTCACCAATCTCCACCAAATTTGAGACACAGATTTTTTAAGACTTATTCCTTCTTTTGAAAAAAAATTAGAAAAGGTTATTAATAAAATAGAAAAAAATCTTGGTATTAAAGTTTATTAACCAAATTACCGCATTTGGAAATTAATTGTCTATTTTTGGTCATTACTCCTGATAATCTTCTGCCCATATTTTTTCCTTTTGTGTATTGATAAATAAATTATCAAAATTTAATGTTTTTTGAGTTTTTTGCCATTTTCACTAAACTTTAATAAACAACAATCCACATAAAGTGTAAACGTTCAAATAATTATCACTTAATTATTTAAACAATGTTAATGAACAGATAATTTAATTGTTGTTAAATTAAAAAGTTATCTTTATTTTATTCGAATTTGATTCTTTAAATAATAAAATTACAATTCTTAAAATACAAATATAGATCATGAAAGAAATAAAGAAATAAATAAAATTATAATCTCTATATTGTATGGAAGCTTATAGACTTCCCGGAAAGTATTAATCTTAAAAGATAACATTCATAATAAATATAATATAATAATAATAATAAAAATAATAATAATATAATAATCATTATACACCATCGCCAAAACTCCTAATAAAAATATCAATAATTCAAGGAAAAATAATATTCATAATTCTTCGAAGTAAAACGCAATAATCCCGATTGCCAAATTAGTAATAGCGAATTTAAACAAAACGAATTTTTCTACATTACCAAATATGGTATGGATTAATTGCCTAATTTTGACTAGAATTATTTTACTGATCAATCAAGATTAAAGATTGTTACATAAACCCAGTGTGATCGATTCCCAGCCCTTTTAATGATTAATGGTCTGGCCAACTTTAATTATTAGTTGAAACCCTTTTAATTATTAAACATATTGCCAGGGGAATGCCTTTGAATATACATGGATACAGCAACTTAGAGATCTTTTATCCAGACTGTGTGTCATAAGATAAAAGAAGTATTGACCATAAGTCAGTGGCAAAGTAAGTCCTAACTGTGTATTGATATTTAGACTTAGTGTCAATAGGTATAATTATGGGCTGTATTTCGGGGGCAAAGTAAGACCAGCCATGTGCCAAACATAAGAATTACCTGGTAAGTAAGTCTTGAAAGATACGGTGCAGATCATCTATAATCATTAATTGCTTATAGTAACAATTGGTCAACTTCAAAATACTAAAACAAAAAAAA